ATTTGATCTTGGAGATCAACTGGAAAGATTTCATGAATGAGGCCATGAATAAACCACCACTGTGTAAACCAGGATGAAATCTGGCTTTTGAAATCTTTGTGAAATTGTAGGAACCATGAATGATCAGAGGAATCATTCTGGTAGAGTATAAGTTTAAACCATGATTCTTTGTAATCATAGTAATTAAACTTTCTTTTGTGGTAGGGTAAATCTCGGAGTAAAAAAAGGTGAAATCCCCATTCTTTGAGAGAAATAATTTTTAATACATGTAAGGAATGATAAATAATTCTACTTGAATCATTTTTATCAAATATAGGTTTGACAAATATGGACTGAGTATAGAATAATATATCCTGATAAAACTGGAAGGTCTTTTCAGGATCATTTGGAATAAATGTCCATCTTGGCTCAAGGTAGGTATTGACTAAATCCATTGGGTTGCTTAAATGAGCATGGACTGGTTCGATGGCAAATACTTTTTGGGTATAAACCTTGATATAGTCAAAGTTTGGGCTCTTTGGGACAAACTGGATTTTTTGGTAAGAATATGGGTTTATCATTTGGCTAGAGGTGCTAGGTTAGGTTGGTGCAACAGGTCTAGGGGCCTGTTGGGCCATTTGAAGAAAAATGCTAGGAGACGCTATAGTGGATTGGGCAACTGGCCTTGTCGGGTTAGGATTACCAAGGGGTTGAAACCTATTGGCAATCTGAATGGCAGAGGATAAATGGATTGGGCTTGGCAAGGCTAACTGTTTATCCTTTTCTAGGTTTGCCTTTTCTTGGGCAAATATTTGACTAAGTTTTTTCTTTCCTGTATCCCTCCCGGCTTTGGAAGAAGATCCAGGGCTATGGCTTTTTCTGTCAGCCATGAGAGTCCTGCAGAAATTCATGGGTGAGAAAATCAGGAATGCAGTTATGACTGCCCTTAATATATTCTATATCAAAATCGAAAATACTTAAAATAGATTGTCATCTAGCAAAAATTTGCTTATTAACAATGTTTTGTTCATCCTTTTGGAGAACATACTTTGTTGATTTACAATCTATTCGTATTAAAAATTTCTGATTTAATATATCATTCTGGAATTTTGAGATACACAGGACAATAGCTAAAATTTCTTTTTTAATTGTGCTATAATTGAGTTGAGTCTTATTCCAGATACCAGAGTGAAAACGAACAAGTTGCTCTGGGGAGTCTGGAGTAAGTTTTTGAAGTAAAATACCACCGTAGACAATGTCGGAGGCATCAGTTTGAATGATTTTAAAAGAATCAATTGAAGGAATACCAATGCAAGGCAAGGTTTTAACAAACTTTTTGACTTGCTGGACTATGGAGGTATGAACAGAAGTCCAAGGAGAAGGATTTCCTTTTAGTCTGTCATACAGCGGTTTGACGGTTTGCCTAAGATTCTGATAAAAGTCAGAAATATAATTTAGGAAACCTAGGAACCTTTGCAGTTGAGTTTTATCAGTAAACTCATCAAAGAACTTATATGCAAATTGGATGGCTCGATTGATGGGAACAAAAGTGGACTGCTGTATGTTGTATCCTAAGAACCTTACTGAGGTCTGGAACAACCTAATAATACTAGCTGAGATGACTAAACCATTGTTTTTAACAAGCTCAAGGAAACCATAAAGGTGCTTCCAGTGTTCTTCTATTGACCTGGAGAAGATAAGAATATCATCTATATAGACAATAGATAAATTACTTATTGAATTAAAAATTGCATTCATAATATTTTGTAAGAAGCCTTCATCATAATACAAATGAAGAGTTTCTCCTCTATCCTCTTTCACTACTAGCCCACTTAGTGCTAGTATTGTAAGTATTTTATTTCTGTAATTTGTATTCATATTTTGTTAATTTAAACAAGAAATTTTTATAAGACAAAACATTATTTTGTCACATTTATATTTACCATTTATATTTACATCTTGTGATTCTCTCCAAACACATATGTATTCTGCACTTTTATTTTATTATACAAATGTAGTTATCAGATTGAATTTCGTGATCAAATATATATTATATTTATTTTTTGGTATGTAATAATATAATAGTATAATAAGCGATCTAATCAATCTATTTTAAAAAATAAAAATTAATAATTCTATAATATAATTAGTCTGCAAATACCTAAAAATGTCAGAAAGACATCTAAATAAATGACAGATTAGGTACTCAAAGTTTTATAGAATAAATTAATAATTAAATTTAGTAATAATTGAACTATAAATTAATTATTTGAATTTGAATTTATTATTTAATTTCATCATACATATAATTCACTTTGTTAATAAAAAAAAATTATTTACGTGCATTGCTAGTTACATTAAAAGAATTTTACATATCAATTGAGAAATGCCAAATTTGACAATAAACTAAATTTCTTTTTTTTGGTCGACTTAGCAATTGACATACCGGTTGGAGAAGGAATTGGCATTATATACTGAATTGACATTTTAAGCTTTTGTTACAATTCTAGATGATAAATATACATTACTAGTATGAGCAATTGTAATCGCAATCAGATTCTTTTTAAATAGGGCTGATGATAATTAGTGCATATCAGATTCATACCATGTGTATGTCATGTATAGTCAGGTTAATATCATTCAATTTAAAAAATTAGAATGAACAATCCATTCAACTAGTATCAAATTCAAATTAAACTCATACCTGATAATTTCGTATCGATATCTCCTCTTGAATAGATTTTAGAATTGAGTTCAAATAATATATACATGAGGACAATATTAGCATCCTATTCATTGCAAAAAAACCCTAGATTTGAGTTCATATAACACAAACACAAACAGGCATTATCAGTTAGGCCTTGGCCAGTAAGACAGTTGTCCAAGAAAGACTTCCACATAAAAGAAAAATATCATATCCTAATCAAAATATGCCACATTTTTGTTTGTACTAACAACATAAACTAGAAGTATATAAAAAACACTATTTAGTAAAAAAACAAATTAAGCATATACGAGAGAGAGTTTCACTCTCATTATTGGTGGCGGATCCAAAGTGACGGCAACTGCCTCCATTGAAATTTTAAAAACTTTTGGGGGGTTAATTTTAAAAATTTTAAAATTTATTAAAAATTTGCCCCCCACTGATTTTCTTTTTAAAAGATTTATGGGTAGTTATGATATTTTGATAAATATATGGGTCTCACTTATAAATGTTAAAAAAATTCCATTAAAAGGCTAAATGCCTCCATTATGTGTTAGATTAAATTGTTTTGATTTGGTGGTTTGAATAGTTTTATTGTGATTGATTAAGTAATTTCTATACGCAAGTTTAGTTTAATAGAATAATCATAATTTATATTTGTTTTGATTATTTGTTAAAATTTAATTATATATGATTGAACCCAATTTTTTAAATCAAAATTTTTTATTAGGTGATTAAGTCTTATATAAATTAGCCCATATAGACAAAAAAATATTAATGAATGGAATTAGAATACATTGAATATGGTACTTCTAGAGAGAGAGAGAGAGATACATTTCTTATGGTAGCAATGTGAGGACCCTTGTAATGATGTACATGATACATGTCCACCTTTATAATAACAAAAAAGGTAAATTAAACTTACATTCATTGATATTTGGCTTTATTACATGGATACCTCCTCACGTTTCAACAATTACATTGAGACCCCAATAGTTAGATGGAGTTAACTATCTTAATAAAAAATAATATTTTGTTCCTCTATTTAATACAAACTCAAACCCAAACCCAAACCCAAACCCAAACCCCAAGCCCTATCCCTAACCCTAACATTCGTCTCCTCTGCACTAGCAAATCCCATGACTTTGTCTCTCTCTCTCTCTCTCGACGAAGAACCAACCTGAAAATCATCAGTCTTTTTTCTCCCCTTAGCCCATCTTTGTGTGTGCGTGTGTATATATAAATACACACAGACAAAGAGAGGGAAACCCCTACCTGAAATCACAGAAAAATCGGCAAAAATTGTCAGCAGCTCCCCACTACTGCAGCACCCTCCAGTGGCCACCCTCATCCAAAATGTCAACCCACCTAAGCAAAGAATATTGGGGAGTGGGAGAAGGAGAAGGAGAGGGAAAGAGAAATTGAAAAGATTCAAAGCTTAAAAAATATGAGAAATCAAAAGGGCAACTGTAGTTTTTGAGGCTCAGTTTTAACAACGGTGATTGTTGGGTTGTATGTGTGATGTGGTTGAGGAGGTGGTTGTGGAAATGAAAATAGAGATAGAGATGGTGGGGTTTTGCTGGATTGTGGTGGTGGTGGTGTGTGTTGTGTGGTCGTGAAGATGAAAATGGAGATGGGGGGGTAAGGGGTTATTTCGTTAGTGGCAGTGGTGGTGTTCTATGTATGTGTGTGAAGAGAGAGAAAGAAAAAGAAGGTGGTGGTTGTGGTTTCCGTGGTGTGGAGGCAACGATGAGAGGTGGATAATGGTGCATTTAGGGGCCTGGATTGATAAATATAATTTACATTAATATGTTGTATAATAAATAAAAAATTATAGTTTTTAACTGATTAGTTTGATAGATTATGAAATTAAATATTTAATTGAAAATTTTTTAGTTTAAATATGAAATATAAAATAGAGAAATGATAAAAGAGAGATGAGATAAAATTTTGGGGTAAGAAGAACAAATATTTGAATTTTTAAATTTTATTTTGAAGGGCATTTTTGGTATTTTACAAATTATTATTGATGATATCAATTTTGTCCGTGAACCATTCTAATGTCTGTTGGTTGGAGGGGGTGTGGTTGTTATAAGTTTTAAATGTCCATGGAGTTTCGTGTAATTGTTGAAATGTGAGAGATTTTTATGTAATAAAATCAAATGTCAGGAGGTGTAAATGTAATTTACCCTAACAAAAATGACAGTTTGGGTTGTCTCTCTCCCACGAACCCATGCCTCCCCCTACTGTGTGGCTAAAAATAGTTCCCTCCCAATTCTTAAACCAACATGCTATGAGCCCCAATACTTCCCCCATGCTGGCTTGATTAATTAACTAAATTTCTGAATTATTTATAAAAAATGTTTTTTTTTTCTTAAATCCCTCTTGATAATTAAAATCAACTCCCAATTGTTATGTCCCAGGACTCGCAGCTCTCAACCGTTATTTTCCCACAAAAGGTGTTAAGTCCTTACCTACGCAACCCATCTTCGTCGTCAAACACCACCATTTTCAGTTCAGAGCTCTGTGTCTCAGTTCACACTTTCTCTCTAGCTGTCCTTCCAGCCAAACATGAAGAGTCGATCAAGACAAAACCAATCAGAGGTACTACTCTTTCTCTCTCTAGAAATTTTCTTTTTCAACTGTTTAGGGTTATATTTTTTTTATTCGTTTTTCGTTTCGACGTTCATTTTGGGTGATTTAAGAGGAATTGCAGAGAAGTTGGGCTGAAATATTGTGTTTCGGTTGCACCTGCCTACAGCTCTTCTGGCCAAGGGTCGTCGTGCGCAAATGGCTCAACCTCATCGCTAAGGATTCCGATTACAGTGCCGACTCTGAGGATGATGACGACGATACCGACTCGTATGTCGAAGGTCAGTTTCTGGGTCACAAAAGATATAGTTACGTTCGGTTTTATGCTTATGATTGAAGATTCATGGGGTTTGAGTTTGAAGGTGAAGTGGATTTTTGCAGAATTTTGTCAGTGGCCGAGAGAATCGCGATTTAAGGATGATAAAGTAAATGAAGCTGGAATTTCTCCTAATGGTAATTTCTGATGTTATTTGAAGTTCCAATTTGTCTGAAATTCATCCACTTGCTTTTGGTGAATTCTGGATGCCTTAAATCTAAAAAAAACCTAATTACTTACATTGATCAAGTCTTGATATGCACTTTTTGGGTTGTAAAATGTCATTTGTATAATCAAGGATTTGCACAGTAGCTATATTTTATTCTTACCAGCAAGTAGTTATATGAATGGAGACCATATAGAATGATTTCGCAATAAATGAGACAATTTACATGAATAAGCATAATATATACTTTATACATCTAATTGGAGAAATCTTCAACAATTATATTACTTTGGGAATATTATTAAGGTGATTGATGGGAGCTATGAAAAACCTGGAAACCTCATGGAATTGGTCTATGTGGTGTGGGTTTTTCTTTTTCTGTTTTTTTTTTTATATGGAAGTATGTCACATGGATAATCAAAATTTTCATACTTGGCAAAGTGCTCAATACCACGGCTGAAACATATGATTTATTAAACCATTGCTGTGCAAGTTTCCAAATGAACCATTGTTGAATGTCATACATGTACAGCTTTGTAAGCCCTTTTGCTGTTTTGGCTTGTCATTCTTTTGTGGATGTAGTTGGATGCTGCTTTCTGTCAACGTTCAACAATTTTCTACTTCCTAACTTTCCAATTATCGGTTCTTTGGTTAATGAAACTTCTATCTCTCACCATCTTAGTTGTAATCTCCATGATTTGTTCAACAAAATGATGGTCTTTTTAATTTTGAATGTCAGATGTTCTTCCCAAAATGAGAAGACGGAACTCAGAGACATTTAGGGCACAGTATATTAATACAAAAGAAATCAGGTATGCAGAATTTTCCTAGTACAAGCATCACTTGTATATGAGATTGGAGTAGTGGTGACTAATATTTTTCTGCTGTCTTCTATGCGACTAGAATATGCATTGGCACGTGGAATGTTGCAGGTAAACTTCCACCGGACGACCTAGATATTGAAGGTTGGCTAGAGATCAGTGAGCCTGCTGATATGTATGTGATTGGGTAAGTGTTTTGAGTTCTGTTTGTAGCATGACTATCTTCCTTTTCAGAAAATTTTTCTTGCAAATCTGTTCATCTGAATGTGCTGTTTCTGCATATACTTTGCTTTAGTTTATTCTATTTTATTACCTTCAACCTATGGCATTCAGTTTGCAAGTATAAATATATTTGTGTTTTCTGTTTCTCATCTTTCAAATGTAAATAAACTTGCAACAAAGAGTTCCTATCATAATAACTGCACACTGTCTATATTGTAGTTTTCAGGAGATTATACCATTAAATGCTGGAAATATCTTCGGTGCTGAAGATAGCCGCCCGGTGCCAAAGTGGGAAAGCATCATTCGTGAAACTCTTAACAACATCCACCCTGCAAAGCCTAAATTTAAATGCTACAGTGATCCTCCTTCTCCTTCAAGGTTTAAGCCCTCTGAGGATGCCCCCGATATAGAAGATGAAGTACTACTCGAAAGTGATAGTGATGGTAAGGAGGAACTATATGCAATCAATGAAGAAACTAATGGTTCTGATAAAGTCCAGGATGGATCAGTCACGGAAGAAAATGATTTTTTAAGTGCTCGAACTTCAGTCTCCAGCAGTGATACCAATTTAGGCATGCCAGTTGCTTCTGAGTTGCAGAGGCAATTTTCTTCTCGAAAAAGACCTGACAGGTTGAATTGCTTTCGGCCTGATGATTGTACAGAAAATGCAGAAGCATCAGTTTCCCGATACAGTAAGATGTTAACAAAGACACTAAGTGGGACAGAAAGGATTGGTTTAAGTTGGCCAGAGCCTCCTCTGGATATGCTGGCTCAGCATGTTTTAGACAAACCTAATTCCATCAAATCCATCAGGTCATTCAAAGCTTCCAGATATTTCACGAGATATAATTCTGTCAACTCAAATATTAATGGTCACAATAGAGTGCCATCAAAAACAGCTTTGCTTGCAGAACTTGACCTTGATTCTGTCATGTATCGAAAAAGAAGACCTCCCTATGTCAGGATAGTAAGCAAGCAAATGGTTGGGATTTTCCTCACTATATGGGTTCGTAGAAGCTTGCGAAAGCATATCCAAAACTTAAATGTGTCTGCTGTTGGTGTTGGAGTCATGGGCTACATAGGTAACAAGGTTTGTTGTTTTCTAATGTTAACTTGCATTTTGGTGATTGCTTCTGACAACTTGTGTCATTGTATTTCACCTACCCTCCACCTCCGATTTTCTTTTTCACTTGGTGGATTGATGACTAAGCATAAAACAAATGTCATGGTCCGAGTATATTCACATAAAGCATCCACCCTTTAATCCTTATGCCATATTGTCAATACGAGCAAAACAAACCTCTGCCAACGAAAAGAACACAAACATTAAATCTTTCTTGTCAAGTTCAATATTTTGATGGTAATAAAAAAGTAACGGATAGTACCTTGTCAACCCCTCCCCCCTCCCCGCGGCTAGTAACTAAAGTACCTAGCCCATAATCCATAGAGAATATCATAGTATTGAATTCCTAGAACAAGGATATCAGAAAATCAGGTAGTATCTCTTTGGCTTATGTTTTCCTCTCACAGTATTTGCAAAATGTTGTGTCCTTCAGACTGTGTATTAAACAAAGTTTGTTTATATTTGAAGGATTAATGATCACTGAGGGTCAAATATATTTTTTGTGATTTATGCATAAAGATGTACATTTGTTAGATTTTTCCTGACCTTTTCATTGAATAGTACTTGCGCCACTCCACCGATAAACTAGGTTACTGCTGCATGATGCATTTTGATGAACCACAACTTGATTGAACCGTGAGGGTACATGTATGTTTTGGACTCTGAACTAAAACTCTATTTTTCACACCATGTTCAGGATCTTATTTTGACATGGTAAGTTCTATGTAAAATCTTAATAGCTTGAGTGGCCAACAAATTAAAAAAAAATTACATTTGGTGGGGATCGGCATTATTTTATGAATTATTAAAAACTTGCATATCATTTTTCATATCTAGTTGTGTATAGGATACATCTGCCATTAGTTTTTTCATTTGAGTTAATTGTTCTAATTGTTTGAGGACTCCAGAAAGTTTTGGCTGGGGACTACTCTGCACTAACTGAAAATATAGTTTCTAGAGTATCTCATTAAAAATTCAAAGGGACAGGTTTTTGCAAAACATATGTACTGTATGTTCATTGCTACTGCAATGTGACTTTGAAGTGTGGTAACAAACTTGACTGTGCCCAAGATGGTCATATTTGAAGTGTAAACTTATGGGCCCTATGTAACTATTTGATGCAAGAAAAGATAGTTGTGGACCAGAACATTGTTTCCAATGTAAGAAAAGGTGAAGCAGCATGTTTCCAATGTGAATAACCAAAATATATGTGAAGCAGGATTCGTTTCCACTCTTTTTCGAAACGTTTCCATAGGAGACCAAAACAATGCACCGAAACAAAAATTTTGATCCTTGGTTTGGCATTCGGTTTGTGGATAGTTAGTGTTGCAGTAATTTCATTTAATATTTTATTCTGATTATTCCATTTCATCCTTGAATTACATTAAACGCTTCACATATCTATTATATCTCTTCCAATATAATGGGAGTTCTTCAATCTTCCAGGGCTCAATATCAGTCAGCATGTCTATACATCAGACGCTTTTCTGTTTCGTATGTAGTCACCTTACATCAGGTGAAAAATATGGGGATGCAGTTAAAAGAAATGCTGATGTGCGTGAAATACATCGAAGAACGGAATTTAGTTCTCTTTCTGGCATTGGACTTCCTAAAAGCATTCATGACCATGAGTGAGTATAGGGCATCTTCCATGACCTTCTAATTGATTCTTTTCTGGCTTTATCTGTTTACAGCATTCTTCTTTCGTGATAAATTTCTCTAACCCTCTCTATTTGGCTCGCTCAGGTTTTATTTGTGTGTGGGGATGTGTATGTGCATAAGAGATGAATCCTTTAGTTGTCTTGTCTTTTTGTTCACTTAAATATGCACGCTTGCATTATTTTTTTTATTATTATTATATTCCCCATTTAGCAGTTTTTCAATTAAGCAGTTGGATCGGAATGAGAAAGAAAACATTTAATCAATCTCCATTTTCTCTGGAGTGGTTGATCAAACATTCTCATTTTTTTTTCCTCTTCCTTATAAAACAGGAGAATATTCTGGCTTGGTGATCTAAATTACCGTATCAATCTGTCATATGAGAAAACACGAGAGCTAATCTCCAAAAAGGACTGGTCCAAGTTGGTGGAGAATGATCAGGTACATATAACTTCTTTTATCCCTTAGTTCATTAATAAACTCTCAGTTCGACAAATTCTTAATCTTGGTCTGAACTACCAAATAAATTTTGAGTGTACCATTTTAGGAAGCTCAAATTCCTCCTCTATATGTCCTGTTTCCTGGACTTACTTTAAAGTGGAGATGGCAAACTGAATTCTCAGTAATTTGTTTATGAAGCATAACAAATCGTCTGTGTGAATTTTGTCGGTGCCATGGTTTGCTCTGAGAAGTTTGTGGCTATGATAAATTTGCTTGTGTTTCAAGTGCTTGGTTGAAAGATTCCCTAATACACTGGATGGAGACCTTGTTCATCCTGGTTTCTTTTATTTATATTCATCAATTTATGTGCCAAATGTATCTGGGATAATTGTGACTTGAAGTCTTCCAGTGCCTTAAAATACTGTGTTTCAAAAGCAAAATGCTATTGCTGCCGAAGTGCTCAGGCCTTGGAGATACATTCATGATGCATGGAGAAACTTCTTAAGGAATACACCTTGTTATTCTCTCTTTTGTCTGCGTGTGTATTTCTGTCCGTGTATGCATGTGTGTTTATGCTCCAGAATTGAGGCAAAGGCACCAGAATCTACTAGGGATGAAATTTATTATGTTATCGAAAACAGATACCCAGCAAGGCGCAATCTCATTCTTGTATGTCACTCAAATGGGTTTCACATGAAGTGGGTTTGATGTCTCATTGCTGAATACATTAACATCTTCCTGGTCTTGCAGCTTATACGAGAGCTGAAAAAAGGTTGTGCATTTGATGGATGGTCTGAAGGTACTTTAAACTTTCCGCCAACTTATAAATATGAGTTCAATTCAGCGAAGTATTACGGAGAGGATCCAAAGGTTGGGAGACGTACCCCGTCATGGTATGTCTTTAGAATTTTTTATTTTTTTTTTGCTTTTCATTCTTGGAATTTGATTCCAATTTTGCTCATGATGGTTGTCTCAACTATTTCAATTGCCTTCTGGTCTATTTATTGTTTCTCATGGTATTCTTGAGCTATATGGAGATCTGTTTTTGTGATTACACATTGCAAGTTGCTTAATTGTTTCCTCGTATACTTGAACACACCTTATAACGTAAACTTGTTTGTCTCTGATTTATTGTTATATTGTTCACTGGATTTCTACTTGAGGTTGGATCTTTGAATCAGCATTTTCTTGTTCCTTTTTTTTTTGCTAGCATCTGTTGAGCTTTTCCTGTTTTCTTAATTTGTGCATCTTTATATTTATCTTAACTGTGTATTTTGACATTGTCAATCACATGGCATGAATTTATTTAACAAGCTAGAGAGTGTTACAATGTTTATTAGAATTCTAGTCCTGCACTACTTTCTGTTTGTCAACTGAACTGGGTCATCAAGGTGAGCACTCACATATGAATAACTCAATCTTAATCATCAAAAAAAAAAAATTAATCATCAAAGACGTGTCCCAACTTTGTTGGTTTGGCTACATGAATCCTTCTTCATCGTTGTGCTTTATCAATAGCCATCTTTCCCACTACCAAGTCTTTTTCTACTATTTCTTTTGAATTTAATTTCGGACTCCAACTACCACTCGCATTACTGGTAATAGGTATCGAATCACTCTCACCCATTGGTGATATAATTGGTTCCCTATAAAAATATCCAACCATCATCTGAACTAATTATCTCTTAATTATCACCTTTAATGTTGCTTCTACTTTTGTTCCTAATGGTATCCTTTCTTGTGTCACCACTCATGCATCTTACATCCTCATTTTGGCAGGGCGGATCAAAGATTTGGTTTCGGAGGGTCAAAACATGGATAAAATTATGATTTGAACAACAAAAGCACAAAAATAATTTATACTTTGTACACTTGAACTCACTCATATATTATAGTGGAATAAGTGTGTTTTCAGATCCCGAAGATCGTTTACACTTGATTAACTTAATCCTGATTTTTTTCAGCAGTACTCTTTCATTGCACACAATCAAAGAATCTGCAACAAAATCTTCTTTCATTTTTTTCCAAACTTAATTGAGATGAACCATCATCTTATTGATAAATTAATTCTTTAGAAAAGCAAAAAATGTTTTTGGGTTCAGACACTCTTTAGCCTTTGCATTTAACAGCATTTTACTTGGTTACAAGTGACAAATATACAAAAAAAAAAAAATATGGTTAACTATGCAATTGCTTTTATATGGAAGGTGGCGATTTAATAAATATAAAGGAAGTATTATATTTGACAAACATATCAATTAGGGCATTTCACATCTGTTGTACTCAGTTCAATAATAAAATATTTACTTTTGGGTTAGAAAGCAATGAATTGGTAACTTGTAGAAAAAGAAGAAAAAAAGGCCATTCTAAATTTTTGTCAAAAAACTAAGGGGCAATGTATCAAATTTAAGCGAGGTGGTCATCTTTATACTACTGTATGTGTGGTTTACTCAAAGATGGGTGGGGGCAAGTGCCCCCATACCGTTTATATGTGCCTCTGCCCCAGCGTTTCAACCCCAGTTTTTGAAAAAAAAATTCTTACCTGCTCATCATTTGGTACCATAAATCGTGGTTGGTCTAATGGTTGCTTACAGTACTTGTTTTGTTAGAGCATGAGATATGTGTCCATTACATAATACATAAGATGTATTCCTTCTCTTGGTCTAACCATTTTTAATTTGACGAGTAAGATCTTCTCCAACCCCCCCCCCCCCCAATGGCTAATTGACCTCAAATATCAAAGGTGTTCACTCTTTTGGTATCTTTTGACTTTCTATCTTTACTAAGCGTAATTTGGATTTCTACTTTTACCAAAGTTACAGTCCATGTATTCAGTTTTAATTTTTCTTATCTTGAATCTCTTTTTTCTAAGACACTTCTCCAAAATTCTGATGTACTGTTAATTCTGACGTTTCATCAAACATATTATCAGCAAATAATATTCTATTTTGTTCTGTCCCTAAAAGCTTATATATATGTGCTGGAATATTGTATGTGTTGTTTATATTTGCTTACCTATTACTGCTATGCACACCACTATGTTAGCAGTCTCAATTTCCCTCAATCAAAAAATACCTTTGTTGTGTGTACCATCAATTTCTTACTTCTTTTGATACAATAAACAAAAGGAGTTTATGCACACATAGGCATGCCAATCTTGTGGTTATTAGCCCAAGCATTTTACCACTGCACTAGGAATGTTCCATATGAGTTTATTGCATTTATAGTATTCTCTGGTTCATGTCTAGGAACATCTATTTATGTATGTGTACTGGTGAGTGGTGTCAATTTTCACTTTGTATGACTTCTATTCCTTATATCTCCCAATAGCTTTTGTGGAACCCAAGTTTTTAGAAGCCTATCATTGGAACTAATGTCCTCTACAAGCCTATCAGGCTTGCTGAATTGCAAGTTGATGAGCTATCTCATATCTGCTATTCCATCCACGTAGCTCTCAAAAGCTAGAGTTTCATAAATGATGAGAAATGTAAGTTCATAGACAAGATTGTCACTGGTATCAAATTAATTTATTCATCAAATTAAAAGGTATCTGGTCCAATGGTTGCCTCTGAGAAACTTATGTCCATGAAAAGGTATTGTAAGTTTTATTTGAAAAGTTCACACCAAGAATTATTGATTTGAAATTCCTGTTTACAGTTTCAGGGGAATAAAGTCCTCGAAACCCTTACTGGTTTGAACATGATCTGGATATGAAATCTTTGTAACATGGTTGTCCAGCTCTACACCTTAGATTCAACAAAGCAAAATTCAGCAAATTTGCATATTTTTTATGCCTAACCTGCATATAAGCATATTACATTTGGGATGACCAAATGAACTTTATTCTTTCACTGGTTTAAATGTATGTTGATGTATTAAACTTCACTGCAAAGCATGTTCATCTTTCAGGTGTGACCGAATTCTTTCTTTTGGGAAAGGCATGAGGCTATTGAACTATAAGAGGACTGAACTTAGATTTTCTGATCATCGCCCTGTGGCTGCCACATATATGGTGGAGGTTGAGGTGTTTTCTCCTAGGAAGTTACAAAGGGCTCTAACATTCACTGATGCGGAAATTGAAGAGGAGGAAATTACTGCAGATATGGGAACTGATAGTGGAATGAGGTGCTCAAGATTGGGAGAGGTGAGTACACAGCCATGTTTATTTAAATTGCAAGAACAAATACAATCTTGTCTGGAAAGTTAATTTTCTGCTCAAAGTATTTGCTAGCAGTGTTGATGAAGGACAAACAAACAAAACTTTCTTGTGCATTTTTGAACCATCAAGGAAACCTCAGGGCGTGTCGTTCTTTTATCTTTGTTGATCCTGTGGTCACCATTTACGATAGGGTCAATTTCGGATTGAACATTTATTCGGTGTCCAGAAGAAACATTCATTCTTTGCATTTAGCTTATTTGTGCTATAGTTTTAATACACTTCTCTGAACAAATTTTTCTTCTGATGCAGGTTGCAAGTGATCGGAAGCATTAAGAGGTTTATTTTGACAAACTAGAAGAGGCTACAAGTGAGTGCTTCGATGACCAATGGAACTCTCAATATTGCGCCCATGCCTTACATCGATTCTTTTGATTTTTTCCCTAAGGTTGTTGTATATTACAGTTAGAGTAAATTGTTTGTCCTGCCTACTATGCTTTCACTAATTATTTTACATTTAACTCAGTTTTTGAGGTATCGATATAAGTCGGTGTATATTGATGTATTTCGCGTAATAATGGTCATTCTTTTTACTAGTGTAAACTCTCAGAACTTGCATGGAAAGCTGAATATCGTAAAGTTCAAATTAATGCATCTTTTGTGAGATGATGATCCTTTAGTTTGATACCAAAACTTATAGTTTCTGCTGAAATCTGAGTTTTATTCTAGAGTTGTTGTCTGTATATTGGATTTGCTTTGCTGGAGACTAGGGTATCATTTTGTAAATAAACACACTACCCCTTCTTGCCTGATTTATGCCCTTATCTTGATTTTTCATGAATTAAATGGCTTGCTTTGTCTGTAGTGTCCTGGTGGAGCCTAAAATCTGAACATGGCTACTACTAGGTGTTACTAATGATGCGGTAGATGTGTTATATTTTTTTATGGTGCATGTTTACTATCTTTTGACGGTGGGTCTCGACTCTTAGGTAAGATTGTTCTGTTGGGACTTGAGTTTCAAGTGTTTGTGTCACAGAAACAGACTTTTCATATGCAGTAGAAGTAAGATTGCATATATCTGACGTACTCTACAATAGCGAGACTCTTGAGAAAATATATTTTCTGTCTGTTCCATTATGTGCGGATGGGATTTTAAACTATACATGTGCGAATATTGTGTACATCATGACAATGATCAGATCCGAGTGCAAGATCTTTTACTTTAATACTATTGGCAATTTTAAGGTGATAAAAATGAAATAGCATAAGTATTACATGCTCTAACATTACAACTTTGACTTGGTATCAAGAATCAAAGATATCTTGATTTGATTCTTTAACTTACCTCTTATTCCATTATCTCCACTACCTCCTCCATTCCTGGCACCAAACCAAAAGATCAAAATTAAGCATTGAGAATCTAGATCCTCTCCATTATATTTTCACTTAATTTTATTTAATGATAGATCATTTAGTAATTTTACACATTGGACCCATACACGGTAGATGATGTACAATTAAGTAAAATTGAGTGAAATTGTAACGAATAGAATCTCAATTTGACCAATCAAATTCATTTTATTAAATACTATAATGAAATTAACTGAGGGTTGTGTGTGTGAGAGAGAGATTGTATCTATTCCCCTAAAAGTCGAAAGGGCCATCAAAAGTCCTTTCAGATTTGTTATTTGACTATTAAAGAAGTTGATTGGCCAGTATTGCTTGCTTGAAGCACAAAATCCTGGTCCTAATCTATGACAAAGACTCTTTTGATATAAGAGTCCTTTACTTTCTTTCTTGACCATCAAATGCAAAAAGTCTCACTTTTGTTGAGCACCATGAATTAAATTGTTTGTATACATTAGAAAGAAATAGTGGAAAGGAAAAATCAGAGGAAACAATCATATTATTATAATGGTACATGATTCACCATGACTTGGTCCCAAAGTGTCTCACAAATTCAAACACAATGATTAGCCACTTTGGAGACCCTCGTCTTTTTACGTACGTCACGAGTTTAAAAATGGCCTCTCAACACGTAGAGATAAGATTACATACATCTTCTTTTAGACGATCCCGTAATTACAGAAGCACTCATCATGTAGTAATTTCTGCAGAATTTTTCAGGTTGTCATCAAGTGAGGAGTCCCAAGAGTTGGGGCTTTCTCAACCAGTATTGTTGAAACCTCTGCCTAGCATATTCCGTGTAATCAAACTCAATGTTGTTTACATATGCCTGCAGATCAGAAAGACGATCAAACCCATGTCAAATATCCATGTCTACATACATGTATAGAGGATTGAAACAACAAAAAACCAAATCCTCTGAAAAAGCAGGTACCGAGATAATGCCCCATAGGCCCCAGAACAAATGGTTGGCAAGTGTGTACTTCTCTATATCTCTGACAAGCTGCTCTACTTCAGTGTCACTGGGACAATGGCCTACATACATCAATGCAGAAGAAGACCAGGTTCATCCCTCAGTACAAGATATTAGCATCAAAGGTCGAGCGATGATGATATGTACTCATCCAGTCAATTAATATATCACGGGTGGGTTCGAGTCTTAGAAGTCAATCTCTCCAAAATAACGGTAAAACTACTTAGTACTTACTTCTTCCAAACTCCGAGCTATAAGTCGGAATTATGTGCACTTAGTACGACTCTTTTAGCATTAAAGCTCAAAAAACTATTAAATAATTCAAAGGCAAACAGAGCCACAAACAGGTTTTCTCCCAAGCTTCGTGATCTGTTCTCTATAGATTCATCAAATTTGACAAAATGCTTATAGTTTTTTTTTTTTTTTTTTATGAAAACAAATGCATAGAGTTGGATGAGCACAAAGTATCCTGTTGAATAAGTCATCGTCAATGTCAACAACCCAAACATTAATAGGGCAACAATAAAAAAAAGTATACCAGGAGACTTGACCTTTTGGTTGTTTAAAGGCCATAATAAGAAGCCATTGGTTAAGCGTTATGTGTGTGTGACTGTGTGTATTAAAATGGCCTGATTTATTTTAGATACACCCAACCCTTAACCTACTTTTGCTGTTTCATATAATTAAAAGTTTAGTAGAAGAATTGCCCTTTCCCTCTTTGCATGTACAGAAATCTCTAAAAATCTACTGATTAATCACATCTATATTAACATGTTAGTTATACAAAGCTTCATAGGATAATTAGCGCATGAGACTCCTACACCGCAGAGTGTAGGAAGCATCAGGTATGGCGAGTGTGGGCAGACAGAAACCTTACCCCGTGTGTAAATAGGTTGTTTCTATTTGTAGACAGATTGACATATTGATTTTTTAGTAACAAATTTATGTACTTTGATAAACATCTACACGAACATAAAAATAATATGGACCAACCTGAAGAACTGAGATATGTGCACACAAATCTTTGACGCTCTTCTAAATCTGTTGTCAAGAAGGAGAAAAGAAGAGCAAAACAATTTAACACAATTATGCAGCTTTACTTTTCTTACAAATCAAAGAAGTAATGAAGCATACAGAGCCTTGTATATACCAACAGTGTCTTACCAGGGTATATACTAAAGTCTAAAACATGAGGTTGATCAGAGTGATAATTTGCTGTCATTTCACAGAAATGGTTTGCAAGGTCATAGGCCACAGGATTGTAAGTAGCATACTCATAATCCTGCATAAAGCAAAAAAAATATTGGTTTGATTCAAATTTAGAGAAACTGAATGTTAACGAATCTCCCACCACTAGCTGGTCAGGGGAGAGTCGGATTTTTGTAACTTTTCCCCCACATATCTCGAATCTAAAGACACTGTTTTTGTAACTTAAACCCGTAAAAGACACGGGACAATACTGTAATGGTTTAGAAAACTCACTATTAAAGTGATGGATCTTGTCTTTTCATCAATCATTATGTTACCATATTGAAGATCATTGTGACAAAACCCAATGTCTTGGTAGTCCTGGGACAACTCCCTCTCCAGTGTATTGATTTCCTCTGCCAATGTATCCAAGCTAAATTCCTTTATATTTTCAGTTGAGCACAATTTTTTGGCCTCACTATGCCATTTTCTGTGGGATAATAAAAACAGTCATTAGAAAATACTAATTTTAAAGGGGCAAAATTCAAGTTCTGATAGTTAATCAATACCTCAGTCTGTCCCAAAGGACAACATTTTTCGAACCAGGCATATCAAGATTATGAAATTCTCTCATTTTTGCTGCTATTAGAGTGGATATTTCGGGATCACGAAGGTCCCCTGCTGATAGTGTCTGAAAATTTAAGAAACATGGTGACAATCCATTATCAGTACATTTGGTATTTTCTTTAGAGGATGATAATATGCAAAACAAAAATAAGACTAGAATTTTTGCTGGTCAAGGTATTGCTTATTCAAGCATTACAGAGCTTCAAGCTGGAAGACTGAACCGAGTTACAAAACCAAAGACACACTAATTGGGCATAAACTCCATTTTCTCTCATCAGGGAATCAGCCTACCCAAACTAGAGGTAATGCTGCCTATCTTTACTTCTCTCAGACCCCGCTATCTATATGACCAATTTCATTTTCTTTTCTGAAGAACTAAGCTATCCTAAATGTTTATAGTCTTTGGCTCTTTGTATAATTATCAGCCAGTAGTTAATGTCAAAAATCAAGTTATTTTTGGCCTAATAACCAAGCCAGAGGGTGGTGAATTCTTCATCTTCAAGTACATCAGTAAGATCAATATTCTATGATAGTAATCATCATTGACCATCCCTCCAACAAATCACTACAGATCTCTCTATCTCTTGGTGCGCTATAAGCCTTTCACACACCCTTTTGTGAACTTCTTTCAAACTCTCACCAGACCAAAAACAAATTCAAACACTTAGGATAGAAAAAAGAATAGAAATGACTTCATACATAGCATTTTATCAAATATTCACATACCCTGGCATGGATGAACTCCTCAACCCTCCCCTCCGGGAACCGCCTGAGAAGCCGAGGTCCGTGCCCGTGAAGCGATATGCACTCAAAAGTCCGAATCTCCTCTTCCCTGTTGAAGAAAAGCTCAACACCTTCCCCATAAATCCGAACCAGAACATTCTGAATAACATCTTCCCTCTTTGTAGGCCAGCTTATTTGATAAACCTCATTAGTCATAGCACCACTTAAATGAATCACTTTCAATCTTTTCATATCAATAACATCCCCCCAATTCAAAGCCAACGATAAAAGTATCTTCATCAATTCCTCTGGTAGACTACCTTCCACAAATCCATTGGTCTTCATCGTCATTAAATACCACTCAAAAACTTCTCCTGTAAGAGAGAGAGAAGAAAGGAAATCCCACCTTAATACATCA